GTCTGGCTGATGAGTGTCTCCAAGGCAAAATAAGCCCAAGGAGTGGCCCAAGGAGTGGGGGGGGGGGATAATAAATTCTGGAGTTAGTCTTTTTTTATAATCAAAGAAGATGAAGACAAAGAAGAATAAAGAGGCTGAGCAAAACCTGAGGTCCATAAGAGGAGTTGTAAGGAGGTTTGAGGTAAGTTCACCGAACAAAGCATGAGGATCGTCCAATCTGTGCAGCAGTCAGACGAGAACTGGCAGGATTCTGCCCCCTGCCCATGAGCATGAGTGACGGGAGTTCCTGTGCATGACACAGGGGAAGGGTATGAAAATCATTTTGCTGAGCTTGTAAATTTACCAGTCGGAGCTGGCGCAGGCACCTTAATCCCACAGGTGTGATGCACAGAGACCATGATGAAGATCAAGTCAAATTTGTGCAAGTTTACCTAGACTATACAGCAACAGATCTAGTGTTTAAAAAAACACCCAAGCCTATTCATACAGTTTTTACATGGCTAGACATCAGTAGGACAAATTATTAGGTACTGCAGCCACAAATGTTTTCAATGCCTAAAATTAATATTAAAATATTGCAGAACTATAGAAACAGAGACTACTCTTTGCAAGTATCCAATACATCTACATCATAAGTTCCTCGTGTGAATGATTTATCCAAAGAATTCTACTCTGGCTAAGAGAAGAAACACCTGCATTGTGGTACAATTTTAGGTCCAGGATGGTAAACGGTAATAGGTTCTTGCTAGAACAAACATAAGCAACCACTGTGTACACATTATGATTTTTCAAGGAATTCAAAAGCAAAGTTTACTTCAGCGACAAAATTGACTAAACTGGGATCTGCTTGCGAACTGGTCCAATCAATTTCCTGTCTTCTTTACATTCTTTGGAACAAAGGAGAAAAGCTACAATTAACAAAATGGAACCAAACTGCCTTTTCCCTCTGAAGCGAAGCTTTACCAGTCCTCTATATGGGATTATGCTCCATGGAAGTCCCTCCCCTCCCCAAACCCCACCCTCCTCAGGCTCCACCCTCCAAATCTCCAGATTTTTCCAACCCCGGAGCTGGCAACCCTGCCTCCATTACATTTGTACACTCATCATATGAATGATAACTAATGCCACAGTAGCAATAACAGGGGAGGCACTCCAATTGTCCTGAAGTCTCTACTCTGTTGGTAATATAGCAGTCAAGAGAGCCATTCTTGGAAGAAAGGAATATTCTGTGGCTACTAATGAATTACACTAGGTCACATTCAGACCCATTAGTAGCATACCTAGGAGAAAATTGTACGTGTATTTGAAGTGCTGTTCGTTTTTCACCATTCTTTTTATTTGCTGTTTCTTGCCTCCTGCAGATTTTATTCTACATACAGTCCTATTTCAAACTATTAAAGATTTGCTGTTATTTTCCATTTAAGTCCTGCTGTCTCCATCTTCCCCGCCCTGCTCTTTATAAGCAACGCGGCTAGAACCAAATAGAGAATATCTGTTTTATTTAAAAGCCGAAACTTTATTACCAGCCATTCAGGGTTCCCATAAACAAATATATGTATCCAGAAAGCAGGTTTTATCAAGTTAGAAGAGATGTTAGTTGGCTGTATGCAGCTACGAGATACACACTGTCCAAGTTTAGCTGCAGGAAGCACAGATGGGCATGCAGAATGGTGACAACCACGTCCTCTCTGGTTTATGACAGAACATAAACGCAATTTGTTGTAAGTGACAACTCGATATGCCCATTTACCCAATTTGCTTTTTATTTCATTTTTTTTAAAAAAATCTCTACTTTGATTCTGTTATTCTCAACCAAACAGGAGGCAGTATCAATGGTTCAGTAAAATGACTAAAAATGTTTCCAGAAAGGGCAAAAATATCTCTAAAAATTGTTGGAATGGCACAATGTATTTTTAACACAGGGTTTGTGACAAAATTTAATCCCCACTGCATCCTTCAGAACTGATTAAGGAGGAATGAAACGCAGTGTTAGGCATTCAAGGTGCAACCGTCAGAGATGAATGAATGAATGAATTTTATTGTTACAGCGCATAGCCAGCAATTATAAAAAACCATAGAAGAACCGTCAGAGATGTTTGCTCTGTATTATTCCTCTTTATTACCTCAGTTACAGCTATGCTCCATTGCAACCTTTACTGCAGGTCATAAGAAGCTTCCTAATATTTAGTTAAAATATTGGTCCACCTAGACTAATACTGTCTTCTACCACTGGCAGTAAGTATCAAGCAGAGGCCTTTCCCAGTGATTCTGTCTGAGAGCCAGTCCACTGGAGAAGCTACTGGTGAACATGGGACTTTCTGCATGCACTATTATATGTTTCTTCTTAAACATGCCAGGAAAGTTGGAAGACTGCACTCTGCACCCTATGATGTTTCCAACTTTTAACTTCTTTAATCCCCTGTTCTGATGGTTATTCTCTTTGGATCTTCTGTCCTTGACATTCAGTTCTAGGTTAGCCCAGTGCAGGTGCTTGGTTTTGGAAATCTATTTTGTTGTTATGTGGAACAAATAAAAACAGAACAAGACCATGAATAGGTTGATTGCGTTGATTAACACTGACTGCTTCTTCACACAAGGTATAACTACCTTGAAATAATTGGCACAAGATGCAGTCATGGACGCTATCTCAAGTGGCCAGTACCTATTGTGTCACGTTGCTTCTAATTGGGTATTATATGGGTTGTGTTCTTGGCTTTTTGGATTTCACTTTTGGACCAACGCGACTGTCAACAACTGTTTTCCACTATCTTAAATGTAATTGGAAAAATTCATGGTGGATGAATTTGATGACTAAAAGGAACTTCCATGTTCAAAGGCAACATACACCTTTTTTATCTGGATTTCTGAGTGTGAGGGGGCCACAGGGGAGGCTCTGACCTCTGTTATGGGCTTTCTGGGGCACCTGGTTGGTCACCGTGGGAAACTGAATAGTGCAATAGATGGACCATCATTTAATTAGCATTGTATATAAGTATGTACAAATACAAATACAAATACAATACCTTTATTGGCATAAAATATAAGTATGTATTATATTAAAAAAATTACCAATAGATGTCCTTTTCTCAAAGAACTGGCATGACAGTCCTTGACAAGATTTCTTTGGGTTTAGGATCGAGCCCCAAATATTTATGAGCCAGTTTCCTTTCAGTCTTCAGGGCTCTGTAACTTAATTTTCCAATACTAGGTGCCACAATGAAATTTCTAGGCACAATGGCAAGCTGGCACCTGGGATTCCTCAAGCCCTTTGGTACGATACAAGGTCAATTCTGTTATGTTTAAAAGCACTCCACAAATTAATTTAGCACAGATCAATATCCAACAACCAAACAAAGATAAGGAGCAGCACTTTTCTTTGCTGTATGTGAAAAGCAACTCTCTTGAGTAGCACTTGTGTATTTTGGGATGCTCATTTACAAACATATCAGATAGAAAATTCTGATCTGCTGTTCTTTTACTACAATTTGCAAATCTGTTTCTTTGGAAACAAGATACAGAACAAGATACTGGAGGAGGTAAGAGATGCTTCCAGTTTTGTTTTTTTGGGGGGAGGGGTAGAGCCTTATAATGTAGCCTTGCAAGAATGATTCATAAACAGTGCATATCCTTTGGATATTGAAATCTTAGAATAAAAACTAAGGAAAAGTCAATTCGTTTTAACTTGTAAAGCTGAGGCAGCTTGAGCCCCGCCTCACAATCGTTTCACAACCACCAACTTGCCCTGATGCAGCATGATGTTCCCACCGCCCATGCACTTTTAGGTTGAGGAGAGATGCCCTCCCTTCCTTTACAAGTGCAGAGCAACTTTACTTATTACCACTTCTCATATTTCAAATAATGATGTTTCAGACTTCAGCTCTTCCATTTGGGCTGTTCTTGAACACAGATGAACACACGAAGCTGCCTTATAGTGAACCAGACCCTGGGTCCACCAAGGTCAGTCTTGTCTACTCAGACTGGCAGTACCTCTCCTGGGACTCAGGTGAGAGGTGCTTCATATCACCTACTTCCTGGTCCTTGCTAAACTGGAGATGCCAGGTTTTGAACCTTGGATGTTCTGCATGCAAAGCAGATGCTCTACCACTCAGCCATGGTCCCTCCCCTCCTTCTCCTGCTTACTATATTTTATTTCTAGCATAAAATTCCTTCGTCATTTTAACCACAATAGAACACAGGGAAAATGGTAGAGGGACTCTCTCTACATTCCGGAGCCCAGAAGACAAAGGGATAGAGAAAGACAGATTTAGTACTGTGAAGAATACTCCTTGGGGAAGAAAAGGATCTTCACTTAGAGGAGAACATAGAAGAGCCTCTGTGATCTGAAACATATGACAAAACCTATGACAAGTATTTCCTTATTATTGTATAGTAGCAAAATGCTGCCCCCATTAATCTGTGTGAGGGACCCATTTTTGGCAAGGACAGTTGTGCATTTCCAGAGAATGGTCAACAGAAGCCACACACATGGGCACATGTATTGATTCCCCTGTAAGGCCATCTCATCGTATGGTGGTGGTGGGGCCTGACAAGGGGATGAGAGGAGGATGGTGGCAGCAGCAAAGGAGGAGGAGCACTCTCAGTGAAAGCAACAAAAGGATTCCAAGCTATCACAATACTCATGAGTTAACTGTAAGAGTACATGTGGAAAATGCCAGGTCTGGGTAGGCCCCCAGTTCACTGCAAAACTGAGTGGAGGGTGACTTAGAGCTGTGTCTGCCCCACTGCATACAGTCCTGCACCTTCATCTACATAACCTTCAGTCAAAGAGTGTCTCTCTCTCTCTCTCTCTCTCTCTCTCTCTCTCTCTCTCACACACACACACACACACACACACACTTTGCTTATCATAAAAACTGCAGTTTACCATAAATTGCAGGTTTTTTAGCTATGATGGATAGCTGAAGAATTCCTCCATCACCATCATCACCACCATTATTATTATTATTATTATTTGCATCCACACACACGATCAGACTTACTTGGCGGCAGCATCTTTCCTCAGCTGATCATGCTTCATTAGAAGGTTTTTCCTATCTTGGAAAGCTTTTCGGACTTTGTATCCTTTATAGACTGCTTGGATTTTGACGGCTGCGATATCCTGTATGGCAGCGATGGATAAAGCACCATGCTCCAGCATGAACTGAATTACTTCATGGTGACCTCCAAGCAATGCATAATCAAGTGGAGTGTACCTAAAAAAGTAAGGAAACACTGGTGAATGATTTCAAAAAATCAGATGTCCAAAATGAGGCCACAGGCTGTATAGATGTGCAGTGTTAACAGCATTTTATACTGAAGTATTTGAACCTGACATTGGTTGTAGTTGAGAGGTGGAGAACAGGGAAGTGCAGCCAATGCCTGAGACAACCAGGAAGGAAGGCAGGAAGCTGATGTTTTCTCTGGCAAGGAGAAATAAAGTAGTGTACGAGGGGCAAGTGAAAAACAGTGGCAACAGGAATAGCGAATTTCAATGTATACATCTCCTAGCTCAGTGCCACAGTGTTGACAGATTTGTCACCGAATTAATTCAGATTTCAGGGATTCAGTTCTAAAATGTGCTATCATTTCCCTTTCTAGGCAAGTATTAAAGGCATAAGAATCTTGGCCTATGCTGAATTTTACACAACTACCAAGACTCTGCACTGTACATCTATGCAATCTTTACTGTTTGCTCTGAACTCATTTAAGAACAAAGCTTATAGCTCTGTCATGCCGTTTTACAGAACTGGGGGGAGGGGTCATGATCTCCTGGAAGATCAAAAGTAGACGAATGCCACCAAGCCTCCTGTATATTATGTATCAGAAGGATAAAAGAGATTCCTTCCTCTCAACCAAGGTTTCCATACACGCAGCCTTGAGCTGTACTTGTGAATCACGTTTGTTAGCTGAACCTGGGGGTTTGAATATAGTAGCTCTATCAAAACAAGATACTGCATAGCTACTATTTGAGCAAACTTAAAGTCAAGATCAGAACCATCTGTTGGGGAACTGATGAGCATTCTGTTCTTAATATAGTCATATCAAATATTATTTTTACTCTTTATTGCTAATCATTGGAACAACCTTTAAAATAATGGCGAGAACTGACTGAGACTGTAGATGAAAAAAAAACCTAACTAAAAGTCCAGTTGCTAAGAGGAAGAGTGTGGGTAGAGCAACACAAAGATGGAAGAAATCAGCAAAGGAAAATAAGAGAAAATAGGACTGCGTTTGAAACACAATTACTAAATATGAGTCAAGTTTACACTGAGTTTAGGCATATTAAAAACACTGCTATATTCCCGGGTGTTTCATATAAGACTTTGCAGTTATAATTGACTGGTAGGGTTACCAACTCCAGGTTGGGAAATTCCTGGAGATTTCAGGGTACAGCCTGGGGAAAGTGGGTTTTGGAGAGGGGAGGGACATCAGCAGGGTATAATTCCATAGAGTCCACCCTCCAAGCAGCCATTTTCTCCAGGGGACTAGATCTTTGTAGTCTGGAGATGAGGTATAATTCCAGGATACCTCCAGGTTGCACCTGGACGTTGGCAACCCTATTGATATGGACTGAGTGTGCAAGTGAGCATTTTATTTTCATTTTTAGATTTTTTAAAAATTTGTTTTCGTTTCATCCATTTTTATATTTTTTTGGTTTGGTTTGGTTTCAGCAGGAAATCAACTTCTCACTATTTTAGCAGGAAACACACTTCTGAATATAAAATTTCCCCCATCTAGTCTGTGTGAAATTCTTAGAGACTGTGGCCCTCATTCTCAAGGTATCAGTTTCAGACAGACTGCAGAAACAGTTTCAACTTCACAGGCATATCTTGCATGGCAGAGCAAGCAGAGGGAGGTCTTTGCTCCCCAAGAAGGCAGCGGGTTGCATTTGGCCCCCCAAAGAAGGCAGGCAGTATCACAGAGTGGGCAGAGGCAGGATTATGGCTGCCCATGAAAAGGAAGGCGGTGTTGCAAAAGTCAACTGTATGTAACAACAGTTTTTTTAAATGCTGGCACTTTACTTAATGTTCCAATGATCTTTTGGTAAGGGCCAGGTAATGTGGTTTCAGTATATGGCCAGTACAATTTCTTCTTAACAAGTTCGTCTAAAACTATTTTGTAAACTTTAGCAAGCATTCAGTGGCTACCAGTGCTTTCTCCAATATGAACCTACTCTGGCCATCTTTGGAGGCCCTGCCTTGATTGCCCCTGCCATCTGAGGCTAGATGGGTGGGGAGATGAGAAAGAACTTTCTAGTTCTGGGCACCAAACCTTTGGAACTCCCTCTTCCTCTACTGGTGTCTTCCAACAGTGGGTGAAAACTTTTTTCTTTCGTTTGTAGGGGTGTGTATTCGGTTTATCCGAGCTGACTTCCCCTCCCCCCCCCCGAGAAAATAACTTACAGGGTTTTTTTGGATATTTTTTCAGCTGGATATAGATAGTCGGTATTTATTTGGCTATCCGAAATGGCCAAGCCCAATAAATCCTGAAAATATTCAGGATTTTTCGGACTGCCAGATACCCACAGTTAAAGTGCATTTAAAGGGCTATCGGTCTCTTTAAATGCCTTCAGAGTGAACTCTCAGCTTGGAGAAGGCATTTAAAGGTATTGATTCCCCACTCCCCCACTTGCACCTGCTGATGTGACCTTGGGTCAGTCACAAGCTCTGGCACAGCTGTCCTTGAAAAAGAGCAGTTTGTGTCAGAGCTCTCTCAGCCCCACCCACCTCATAGGGTGTCTGTTGTGGGGAGGGGAAGGGAAAGGAGTTTTTGTAAGCCACTCTGAGACTCCAAGTGAAGGGCGGGATATAAATCCAATCTCTTCGTCGTCTTCTTAAATGCCTTCTTTTCCCCTCCATTGGAAATAATGGAGAATGGGGGCAAGAGAAGTGAGCCCAGCCAGAATCAGTTGTGCTGTGTGTGGCAATGTGCTCCATGCAGCACAGCAGCTCCTGGGGCTCGCTTCGCCAGCCGCCCAATTTAAACTGGACTCCAGGAGAAGAAAGCCCAGCCAGCATCATCTGCAGGAGAAGCCATCCCAGCTAGGATCTGTGTGCGGCAGGGAGAGATCTCCCTGTCACATGCAGATCCTGGGCCCAGCTTCTCCTGCAGTGTGGTTTAAACCACACTGCAGGAGAAGCTAAGCCAGCCCCCGGATTGGGTTGCCTATTTTTTTACTCCGGTATTTTTCTTCTCGGGTCTATTGGACCTGGAAAAAATTGGGATTTTTTTTTTAAATACCTAATTTTTTTCTGGCCCAATAGACCCGAACTGAAAAACATGGGATTTTTTTAAAAAAATTGCACACCTCTATTCGTTTGGCACAACCCCAGTGACCATTATTGGCCCTCCTCCCTGGTTCTTGTATTAAGTGTTTTTTACCGAATGTGGTCATGTGGAAAGGCAGCATAAAAACATTTTAAATGAATAAACAAATGCCATGTAAAACAGGGATCCCCAACATGGCGCCCATGGGTGCCATGGTGTCCGCTGATATCTTTCTTGGTGCCTGCCAAGTGTTTTAGAAAGTGGGCAGGGCTAGGCAGGGCTTTTGCCCAGCAAGGCTTTTGATTGGCTCTGCAGATTTTTAAAAATGCTGCTTCAGCAGCAGCTGCCAACACACCACAAGGTCTTTGCTTTCTGACTGAAAGTAATTTTGTGGGTGGCTCCACCTTCTGTGTCAGCCATCTTGCGACTGTGCCCACCATACTGTGTCAGAATTGCAAAGATACCTGCAGCCTCAAAAAGGTTCGGGACTACGGATGTCGAGGAACTTATTTTGACCACTCTACCCAAGCTGTTGTACATGAGGATCGTACAAACTTGATGACTGCAACATTAAATACTGAAGCTGACAAGAAAACGAGAAATGAGACATCACCAGCCTTCCTACTGGTTAACTGTTGTCATGCTTAGAGTCCAATTTTTCTTTCCCACATCCTTAATCATGCCCTAAGAAACACTAAAACTGCAGTTATCATCAAGAGCAAGACTGTGTTCTGCATGCTACAATGTGTTACTATGTCAGACAATACGCAGAACAGCTGCAGAGCATCACAGTGACGGTATAGAAGAGATAAGGACGCAGAATTTAATTACAGAAACTGGGACTTCAAAAATTAAGCTGCAGCCAAGCTTAGGTAAGACAAAAATGTTGACTTCCCTAATTCAACACTGAAATGTCATCGGGGAAAGCTGACTTGGAAAGCAATTTATAGTAAGCCATCAGGAACGAGTTCATGCCATTCTGCCTACCAAAAGGACCAATTCTGCTCAGAGACAATCACCGCTTTTGATTGTTGAAGTATTTCAGTGGAAATTACTCAAAGCATATAAAGTTAAACCTACATATGAATTTTGTTAGAGCAGGAATAGAGTCAAGAATGTTTTGTGGATGTAAAAAAATATCTCAACAACGTATCACACATAGTCTTTTACTCCAAGATAGCACTGGCCACTTTTGCACATCATATATTGATACCAGGCTGATTAAAGCTTACAATTCTATTATTTATTTTATACCCTACCCTGCCTTTCTTCTTAGTGGGCTCAAAATGGCTTACGTTACACATGAAGCTGCCTTATTGTCAGGGTTCGATAGTCAGGTCACACAACGCAGTGCTTCATAAGAAGATTTCTGTTTATTGGTACACCAGGACTATGACACGTGTACTGCTTGTGTCATGAATGCCCGGGAACAGTATGGCACCCTGAATTATACTAGGTTCAAACACCCCTTTATAAGCTGAAGCCAATAAGAAAAGTTTGCACTGTCAAGGTTAGAGGAGTATCTACAGGAAGAAACTACCAAAACGTCAATGACTGTGGTGTATATCTCTTTAAGATTAAGTTGTATCGTTTCTACACACCTGAAAAGGATTGAGAGAGGCACTCCTCCCACTCTCCGTTTTTTAAGCCTTCTTCCCTGCAGGTCGGGGCTTGTGTTATTATTGAGGATACTACTGAATAAATGAGGTCATGGACCTGAACTGTGCTGTACTTGTGTGTATTGGTTGTGGGTCTCCTCGTGGCTAGAAGAGTTACACCGCTCTCTACTGAAAGACATTACAATGACAGCATGGGCAAAAGAGCCAGGGTATACATGTGGGTATCGCCATTAGAAGCCTTTATAATGCCAGCATTACTAACAAACGGGAAAAAAGCAACATATGAAATACTGTTAACTGAAGAGAAGAACCTGAAAACATTTGAGACGTTACAAGAAATGAATATTAAACTCACAAGCTGGGAAAAGATACAACTGCAGTCAAGATTTGTTAAAGATAAAAAAACAAACTTCGTAAAATCAAAGTCGGAATTAGACAAGATCTGGCTGTCATCGGCGGACAAGCAAATCCAAAAATTATACTACTGAAGGAAAACATGAAAGAGACGGCGATCAAACCTTGTATGAGAGTATGGGAACAAAATATAGGTCACACAATAAAAACCGAGGAGTGGGAAAAAGTGTGGAAATCGATGAAAATAGTAAGAGCTACGTCATATAAAGAAAACATACTAAAAATGTTTTACAGGTGGCATTGGACACCAGATAAACTATCCAAATGTTATAAGAATGTCTCAGATACATGCTGGAGATGCAAAAATAACATAGGAACCTTTTACCATATCTGGTGGAGGTGTGAAAAAATAATCAAGTTTTGGAAAAAGGTCAAAGAACTGATAAAAGAGATTACAGATATAGAACTCCAACTTATCCCAGAAAGTTATCTGCTTAACATGATTCCAGATAGAATAAATAGAGAAGACTTATATATCATTCTATATATTCTCGCAGTAAGCAGAATCCTCATAGCTAAAAAGTGGAAATCGGAATACCAAGAAGAGAAGAATTAATGGAAAAAATCCTAGAAATAGCGGAAATGGACAGATTAAACTTGATATTAGCAGGGAGAGATGATAATGTTTTTAAGAAAAGGTGGTTTCAAGTAAACATATGGATGGGAAAAAATGTATAATGTACACTCCAAAAATGTTATGTATAAAGAGAATTTACATCTTTTTTGTAACGGAAAATAGATAAATAAACTTTACCAAAAAAAAAAAAGTGATAAACAATACCTTTCTTCATTGTTCTCCATATGATTGGGAAAGGCACCAAACCCCAGGAGTAGCTTTATAGCATCAAGGTAGCCATTGTTACATAACCAATGTAGTGCAGTCCTTCCCTAGAGTCAGCAAGACAGATCAGAGAAATATAAGGGAATTGAGTACACTCACCTTTAAAAGCTAACATGAAGACAGACAGTGTGTATGCTAGGACTACAACTGATGCTAAGACTGCATATGGCGAATATGTATTTTCACCATTCACGCAGAAATGGAAAGGATGTGTCAAGGTTCTGGGTTCACAGAGTCTTTAAATAGGCCAAAGATGCTATGGATGATAATATCTGTGTTTTCACATAACATTAAAAAGAGCGTAACTAAACTAATGAACTCTTAACATATTTACTACTACTACACCAACATTTACAACAAAATTTTACAAAATGTACACCCAAAACAAAGAATCTGTTACCCCTTTCCTACTCTTTCTGCTTTACCTCTTACTCATATGAAATACTGTAAATGGAAACCAGCTGTTAATACAGATGAAAATCTAAACTATTATTTACTTACTTACTTACTTACTTAATTTGTATCCCACCCTCCCCGCCAAGGCAGGCTCAGGGCAACATATACAAATACTACTTTTTTGCCCTTTGTTCCAGCCACAGTCTGAAATGCAACTTAGCTGGTCCAAGAAACGACCTAAAAATCAGTTGTGCAAGTTTTACAAAGCACCCTGCCCTGGCATGTTGATGGACAGTCTTTGGAGTTGGAAGACAATCAGATTTTTTTTATATTGCCTTCAAATATTGCTTATTGTCAGGCCTCTGTGTGTGTGTCATGATGCACTGGAAGTGCACAAAAGTGCATAATGTGGCACTGGGCAAAAAATATATATCAGTTTTTGAAAATGTGTAAGCAATGCCTGCAGAAGTTTCAGAAGCTGGAGAGCTGGCTGTATACGATTTGGTGCCTTTTCACACAGAGGTTTTCCTGCTGTTTGGGTACCAAACTACAGCAGTTTCTCTCTGACCCTCTTCAAGATGTCATTTTCCATGGTTCCTTCATTGTTCCTCCACACTGACTCAAATTGGATAAAGATGGTTTGAGACATCAGGCTGTGATCCTCACAACAACCCCATAAGGCAGGTCAGTATTATTTCCTCCTTTTGGGGAAGGGCTAAGACTAAGAGCAACTCACTGCCGCATTACAGACAACAGTGCCTCAGACAGAATTGAATTTACCTCTGAGCTGACCGTATTCAAAAAGAGAAACGTACCTCTTTATCTTGAATGTTTGGATCAGCCTTGTTTTCCAGGAGCACCACCATGCAATTAATGTAGCCCCCATAGGCAGCACACTGCAAGGGAGTCCTGCCTGCATAATCCTGCACATTAGGGTTGATTTTATTTTCTATCAATTTTTGGCAAACGTCTGGGTTTCCTCCCAGAGCTGCCCAGTGTAAGGGAGAGTGACCATCTTGGTCAACCAGATCCACTCTGGCTCCTCCTGCAATAGCAAAAAAGACCATCAAAACCCAGTAAGGAAGGTGTTTGATTACTTCCCTCTATTCATGCACCTGAACTGGGTTTCCCAGATCCCAGTCCAACACTATAACAACTACACCGCACTTTGGTTTTAATTGTTTTTACTCGTGTGTTTTTAATCTTATTTTACTGTTTTCGTTGTTTCCTATTTTGGGGGACCCAAAGTTGAGTGGAAAGAATGCTTTCAAACGCTTTACAGAAATAAAATACATTTTTGGGAAATGTTCCCCAGTGCAAAACAAAAATGCCTCTAATTTTCTACTGCAAGTGTGTAAGAAATACAGAAAATCACAAGTGTTCTGCAATTAATTTACCTTTGCTTAAAATGTTTATAAAGTCTTAGGGAAGTATTCCAGACCTCTCAAAAGTTCCCTTCATGTTTTGCTTTAGTCAAAATTTTCGTGAGAACTTTCATTGCCTGCTTATTTGCGGTCTATATGGATACATGACAAATCCACCACTCTCCCTGTGCTGATCTAGGATTGCCCCCCCCCTTTTTGTCTGTCATTACTGTTCATTTCACAGATGAAGACAGCAATGTTTCTGTGAAGGAGCTTATGAATTAGCCACAGCTGACCTTCAATGAGAGTCTGTATCACTTCTTTATGCCCCATCTCGCAGGCACGGAAAAGAGGAGTGTGTTTCATGACGTCAGTCGCATCTACCTGAGCGCTGTGTTGTAGCAGCAATTGCACGGTGCTGACATGGCCAGAAAGGGCAGCTGCATGTAATGCTGAAAGACAGTGAAAAGTGAATGTGGAAGTTAAAAGAGGGCCATCGGAATTAGGAGCACAGCAAATCTTAAATCACTCACCAACAGGAATAGCTAGATTTGAGTCTGGTAGCAGCTTAGAGACCAACAAGATTTTATGAGTACAAGCTTTTGTGAATCAAAGATCCTTTTGTCAGATACATTGACTCTTGAAAGCTTATACACGTAAAGTCTTGTTGGTCTCTAAGGTATACTGGCCCTGAATCTAACTATTCTATTGTAGACCTACATGGCTACCTTTGAAACTGACCAAGAGGAGGAACTGATAATTGCAAACCATTCAGAATAATCCAAGTAATTCACTCTTAAGAGACATCATTATGTTACTTTGCATACTGTAGATTTTTTAATGTTGGACTTTGCCTTGGATTGACTTTGGCAGAGAGATGAACGATCACCATTATAAATGATAAATACACATAAATAACACCCCAGCTGATTCAAGTGTTTACTTCAAACTTGCGATTTTCTAAGCAAGTTGTACCCTTGACTGCTCAGCCCCTCTGCAGTTCCAACAGTGACAACCAGAAGAGATTCTTCATTCCCAAATTGGTCTGGCCTTATCTACCCTAATCCACTGGGCAAACATAGAACATCCCTTTACAGAGAGCAGAACTTTCATATAGGCAGCCCCGTTCCTTTGTGTAATATGTGGCCTTAGATAGGAAATTGGAATTTGGAATCTGTATGTAAATCTGTCAAGAGACCCTTCGGGGTTAGAGCAGTATATAAACTGAATGTATAAATAAATAAATAAATACATATATTCATTGGCTTTACCTTACTCATTATTCAAAATACATACTGTAGTGATAGTAATCCACCACCACCCCCAGGCACATACGTGTGTAAAGAGCCGTCAAGTCACAGCTGACGTCTGACAACCCAAGCAAGGGGCTTTCAAGGCAAGTGAGCAGAGGTGGTTTGCCTCAGCCTTCCTCAGAGTCTTCCTTAGAGGTCTCCCTTCCAAGTACTGACCCCCTTGAGAAAAATGAGCTCACAGATATCAATCAGAGCCATTATTCTACAAGATAAGGACCAATTTATTGCCAGGTCACTGGCATCCTACCTTTTTGCAACCCAGCGTAAAATTTAAAAACTGTGACTGGAATGAGATCCCCCCCCCCTTGTGGGATTAGGCCAAGGAACCGTATCATAAAAGGAAAGTGAAAAAGGAAAGTACCGATTCTGCTGAGCTTCCTAGGTCTGACAAGATCAGTCTATACCATGCCACCTCCCCTCCCCACCCACAACATGTATTTCCAAACCATTCCAAAGATGCATATGAACTGTTAGTACTATCCTAGGCAGGGCTTTTTTCCTGGGGGAATGCGCCAGTACAGAGTTCTGGAACCTCTTTGACAAAATTATTTTAAAAATGTTTAAAAGTTCATGAGTTTTCAGTATACTTATAGAAAACTTCATTTCCCCATTGAAAGTTCGGGCACCCCCCCGCCCCCCCAAAAGCCCTGATCCTAGGTAAGCTGCACTAACAACACAAGTAATGTCAGTGAAAAGAAATCTATGGGGTGGGGATTGTCTAGAAGTGAAGTCCACCGAGACCGCTGCCGCCCACTGGATGGAGCTTGGCTCCGAGGGCTGACCCTCCAGTACGCTCTCGATCCTATTTTTCTGCATCACACTCCTTCTGAAGCACAAGGCAGTAAACTACTCAAGCGGCCAACACAGGAGGTGTTTGCAACAATACAACTGAATAAAGGAGCTGCTCTGTCAGCACGTCCCGGCTCTTCCCCCTCCATCATTCATTCTGACGCAGGCGTTTTCGCGTCCAAGTCTCTGCTCGATATTTTCTCGTAAGCCAAAGTTTCTCGAAGAGAGTCACAGTGACTGAAGAGCTTCTTCAGCCAGCTGGTCACAATGGAGCCCTTTGTTCCGCCGGCAGTTAGATCCCTCTCCATTGTACGTGGTCAGTGACAGCAAAGCTATAAAGCTGCCCCTGTGCTGCTCCTACGACACCCACCTCTGAGCAGAGCGGAATTCTTTTTCCTTGGTGTCACGTCCCTACACAATAACAAGTGTCTTGGGGTTCTATTAAAACTCGAGTTGAATGGAGATTATGCCTTGGTAAGCAAATGCGAGAAACGACGCTAATTCAAGGGCAGAGCCCGGTTCAGCCTAGCACATTCCATAGCAACCGTATCCCAGTTCTTTTGGGGGACGTGTGTCCTGGTACGTTATGTAATTTAACCCTGCTTTCTACAGAGTACATGGGTCTGACTAGGCAGGAAGGAAGCAGTTCTCTGTGTTAAGCATGAAGCTGCCCCCCTGGTACGCAGAGAGAGGCAGCCGCAGGGACTAACAAATTTTGGGGCAGGGTATAAGCTTTCGTGGGTGGCTGCTCACTTCAGAGCCAGTTTGGTGTAGTGGTTAAGTGCGCAGACTCTAATCTGGGAGAACCGGGTTTGATTCCCCACTCCTCCACTTGCACCTGGCTGGATGACCTTGGGCAAGCCGTAGTTCTGATAAGAGCAGAACTTCTTCTAAACAGAAAGAGTGGTTTCTGTCAAGAGCTCTCTCAGCCCCACCTACCTCACAGGCTGTCTGTTGTGGGGAGGGGAAGGGAAAGGAGTTTGTAAGCTGCTCTGAGACACCTTTGGGTAGTGAAGGGTGGGGTATAAATCCAATCTCCTCCTCCTCCTCCTCCTCCTCCTTCGGATACAGCTAGAGACACAGCTAGAATGTCATTTAAAGTCCAGAAGGCGATTAAAATGTGGAATCTGCTGCCAGGAATAAACATCTTTACAAGGGGGTTGGATAGATTCATGGGGAGAGGTCTATCAGTGGCTACTAGGCATGGTGACTGAACTTCTGAGTCCCAAAGCCAGGAGGCAACTTCACAGGAAGGCCTTGGCCTCTGTGTCCTGTTGTCGGACCTCCAGAGAAACCGGCTAGCCACGGAGTGAGACAGGATACCACGGAGAGAATTTTGCCAGCCAATTTAAAATTGAAGGCTTCTAGCTGGGGAGCTACTACCACAAATATATACAGTGTCCATGGAAAGCTCTTAAGCCAGCATAATGCAGGAGGCTTTTGCACCTATATAAAAGAAGACAAGACTGGCTTGCTCCTTTATAAACACTTGAACATGGAACCAGAAGATTATTTGAAAAATGTAAAGAAGAAATTAAACACTGGGTAGCAAGAGGCTGACACCTTAATTACTATAGGATTACTCCTGAGGAAGATTGGGACGAAATGAGTCTATATCTTGGTTTCATATTTCTAATTTCAATTACAAGATAACATTTCTATCAATATTGTTCTAAATACAATAAGTTTTGCTTCACATCCCAGTTACTCTCTAAATAGTCCTTAAAATCCTTCCATTCATCAAAAAACTCATGATCTTCTTTATTATTCAACTTTCTGGTTATTTTGTCCACTTCTGCCATAAATAAGACTTTTTGTAACCATTCTGCGATCTCAGGTGTTTTGTCTTGCTTTCAGCATTGTGCATAAACCATTCTCACAGTCGTTATCAGGTACCAAAACATAGTTTTTTTCTTTACATTTAACTCTTCCAACTTCAGACCTAGCAATAAAGTCTCTGGTTCTTTTTTAAATGTACATTTAAATATTTTTTGCATTTCACTATGAACTTTTGATCAGAAATCTATCGCTTTTTCAAACGTCCACCACATATGATAAAATGAGCCCTCATGTTTCTTACATTTCCAACACTTATTTGACATATTTTGGTTCATATTTGCAATTTTCTTTGGTGTCATATAGCCCCCCTCCCCATTTGTAGCTGACCTCTCCCATGCTCCTCTCCGAGACAAGCACTTGGGAAGAGAAGCTGCAGGAAGCCAAGCAGTTCTGCACTCAGCCTGTCCAATTCATCCCAACACATATCTTCCTTTTTCTCATTGGCAATCAACGTATGTATTTTTAAATGTCCCATCTAGTGGATTCTGAAAGATTCGGGAGCATGCCTGTGTTTACAATGCCGGTATTCCCAATAACTTCTTGAAAGCCCCTCCTCATGTCTTACCCGTGCCGCCATATTTGTCTGCCACGTTGATATCAATGTCCAGTTTTAAATCCAGCATTGTCCTGATGACGTCATTGCTGCCTTTCCCAGCAGCCCACATAAAAGATGTTCGTCCCTCGAGATCTGAGTCATCTTTCACAGAAGGATGTTTTAAGAAGGCTTCCACAGTTTCCTAGAACACAAATATTCAGTGAGTAGGAATGGTATGAAATGAAGATAAAATAGGTCTCCAGGATTCAGAGAGTGAATTAGTGTCATGATGATGTGGCAATTCTTTTTTTTTTAACTAAAGAAAGAAAACTTCATTTCTTCATTTAAAGAAAAATTAAATTAAGCCTTGGAATACTGTTGTTTAAAAAGCATTGGGAGGATTCTCTGTGATTAATATAAGCCTATTAGGCTTTGTACTTTAAAAAAAAGTTATGGGTTCAGTTCCAAGCAGCTGAAAAGTGGTTTGTAGACTTCACTGTAAATAAATCTTAAAAAAAAAAAAAACTTTTAAAAAACGTATAGGTTTCAGAGGTTTTTTTAAGCTTTTAAATTCATTGTTTTATGCTTCTGTAACACCACTTCATTGGTACTCAGGCACGCATATACTTCAGTCCTCGACAGCAACCAATCAGACCACAATCATATTTATACTTTCTCCTGCGACTAATTTAATATTGCCGCTTATATCTATAACATTATTCTGAAAGCACCTTGTGGTTTGTATGATACTGTTCGGGACACATGAGCCGTCCCAGTCATCCCCCACCTATATCAAATCTGCCTGCAGCACCATGTCATATGAACCATATGACCAGAACAGCTCCCAGCTGCATTCATGAATGACCAGATTCACACGTCACGCCTGTCCAAAGAATGCACACCTGAGAGTGCTCATGTATACAAAGAAAACACTGTGTGAAATGGCCGGAGAGACTGCACAGCAGGCAATTAAAACTCCGTTAATATGCAATGAAATCATTGTATCAGGTGTCACAGAAAGACAGGCCGGCTGTGTTCCTATTCAGCTGTGCTCTGACGCAAGAAGACACCTTGAAAGCACCCTCTCCCTCCCCTCCTGCCCTTCTCTCTCCTCTCCCCCTTTCAATGAACAGGGCCTGTCCTAGATATGTACCTCCCTGGTACCGCAGGCGTGGACGCACATGCAAACTGTTTGGCTTTTCATTCATGTGCTCACAATAGTACAGCCTCCCCCCTCCTGCCCTACCAGTACAATAGGACAAGTTCTTGGGTTGCGCAAACCCAAGATAAGAACAGCAAAAAAAAGGTTTTTCTTTTTAAAGTAGAGCCAAAGTATCAGGCTTCCCACACTTTTAATCACAAACGGGCTATCCTACTTCATGAGGGAGTTCCCCCCCCCCCGCCTCAGGCACAAGTGACTTCAAATGGTGGACCCTGTTCTCATTTGGCCCTTTAGGGTTTTCAAATGAATACAGAAACATTAATTTCCATGTTAAAAAACAGCTCAAACCAAAGAGCACTGGCCTCTGCCAGACAGGTGGATTTTAAAAAAGGCAACAGAACTCCCTCCATAGAGGCCAGGTGACTAAGAAGCCTCTGGAAGGAGAGAATGGGCCACCATGCCAGGCCTTTGAGAGTCAAGGTGAGTCCACTTATAATTTAAATTATAGCTGCCATGTTGTACTTGAAACCCAACCTGCTACGAGGCTCAGTTTCCACTCTTCCTGTTGGACTGCTACAGACCAGCAACAACAATGGCTTAGCAACAACTGACTGAAACAGTTGCATATCTTCAGATCTGAAATGATTATGCTGTTCAGATCTGAAATGATTGTGCAAAACTAGGGTTCTGCATGCAAGGGCATGCAGCAAACACCATTCCATCAGTATGGTGTAGCAGTGAAACTACTAGAACAGGCTTTCTATAGAATCACTGTCTATGCTGCCCTCTGTTGCTGCATTCCAACAGATTAAAAACAGGATGTTAGATACTGAGTGCCAGAAATTATACAGTTTAGCTAATAAAAGCCTGCTCCCCCTTGAGTTTTGAGATCCCCCCTTACCACAGGGAAGATGGCCTCATATTTATCTTCCCTGCAAGTCCCACAGCAACGCAGAGCGTTTACATGCAATGCTATGCCTTCCGCCATTTTATATGGCAGATTTAACAAGATGTCTCACTCAGCCAGATACTGCCCCTGCAAAAAAAAAATGTGCTGAGACAATTGCTCATGTCCTTCTGCATTGTCACGTGTATGTGGATCTAAGGTATATATATTTACATTCTACTTTAAGTAGCATGATGGATTGCCCTGATGCACTTAAGGCACACCGACTTTTAAATGACTTCTGACATTAATGAGAAAGTGGCCAAGTTTCTTTGCTCTGGTTTAAAACTGCGCCAAAGGATCCCAGAGACATGGTATTTTCATAGGTGTGTTTTTAATCTGCTCTTAAATTGTATAATCTTTATCGACAATTTATGCCAATAAAGGCTAACTTGAACTACTAGAACAGGATGTGGGAGACCCAGGTTCGAACCCCCCTTCTGCCATGGAAGCTCGCTGGGTGACCTTGCGCCAGTCACACATTCTTGACCTCACCTACCACTCAGGGTTGCTGTTGTGAGGGTAAAATAGAGGCAAGGAGAATGGCAGAAGCCAGGTTAGGTCCCCCTCGGGGAGAAAGGTGGGGTACAAATGAAGCAGATAAATAAATCAGTTTAATAAACTAAATAAATTAAACCAATAGCTTGAATCATCCAAGAAAAGCTGGATAATGACTTTCTAAATCCAGGAATAGCTAAGAAATGCCCCTCATGCAACTAGCTTCTGGGCCCATATCAGAATCAACTATCTCCTGAAGACATGCTCCTCACTCTCAAGTATCTCCCTCTATAGATCTCTGGGTCAATGACCTTTGTACACAAGAGAGAATTGCATATAACAGACAGGAGCTCCCGGAACCTTCACCTCCATTTGGCACAAATTCTTGTACCTAGTTGTAGAAAAGAGCAAGAGCCCAGCAGCACCTTAAAGACTAACAAAATCTGTGGCAGGTTAGGAGCTTTCGTGAGTCACGGCTCACTTCTTCAGATACCTATACTGTACCTATTTGAGCAATGATATCTCCTCACCTTTATTCCCTGTTTAATTGAATCCATAATGTTGCACCTTGCTTTGTTAACCTGGCTCTCCTGCCTTACTTTCTTTTTCGCTCTCTCTTTCCTTCTCTGCTAAAAGGACACATTAGGAAAGAGGGAGGGGATGGGATATACGGGGCTTGTTTGCTATGTCGACTTCTTTGTGTGACAACAATAAAAATCTTAATTAAAAAAAAAGAAATGCTGCTCATACTTCCACTTGTAAGTGAAAGGATTGTTGGGCTTTGATGCATACCACCCATCAACTTAAATGTTTTCCTGTCAGTCGGACATTCTGGCCATTGCTCTTCACCTCTGCTTCTTCAGTTTGTCTTTGAGGAAGCATATCTGTTCCTGGCTATCATGGACCTGGATCCCTTTCTATCAGAGGAAAGGCCCAAAGACTCTGAGGCCAAGTAGGCATGGATCCTAGAACCAGTAACCAGACAGCTGGCACCCTTATCTCTGCGCATACAGGAAACACACATTGTGGTGCAGGTAGATGCTGGGCTAGATGCTGCCCGTTGTCTTGGGACTCAGCATTGTACTGGGGAGAGGAGGACTCTCTGGGCGGCAGTTGGGTCTGCCACATCAGAGGATGAGGAACAAGTTAGGGCTATTTCCCCTTTAGTAAAGGGACAGGACATCACTTGATGTGATTTCAGCTGTAGCAAAACATGTTTAATGACTGATTATAGATTCCTAGAGACCCCGAGCTGTTGCTGAAGTCCCAAGATTTTTTTTAAAATAAAATATTTTATTATTTTCAAAAGTAAACACAATCAACATTATAATAACATATTAACAGTGACAATACACGCAGTAACACTAACAAACAAAACAATAATTAATGTTGATCCCGAAGTTGTACTTTCTTTCTAAAAACAAGGTAAGTAACACTTCTATAAATCCAAAGTTAAAGTGGCAATAGATAGGTACCTTTACAGTATCCAATGTTTACGAATAAAAGAAAAATATTGTGATTGTTGCGAGTTTGGAAGTTGTCCTAATATATATTCCAAGTGATCCAAAATTGAATGCCATCTACCGTAGAAGGTATCTATTTGTTTAGAGGATTCAAAACAAGATAGTTTGTCTGAAATTCTATCCATCAATAAATGGTTCCAAATGTTAGAAAACCAAGAACTTAAACTTAATGTATGAGTGTCTTTCCATTGTTGGGCAATTGTAGTTTTAGCCGCTGACGATAACATCGTAAGTAATTCCTTACCATATTGGGGAATATTTAACTCTTTCCAATTATTTAGGATTAAAATCTCGGGTTTCATAGGGACTTTGTATCCTGTAAGATTCTCAATTTCCAATAGTACCCTTTGCCAAAAGGATTTTACCACCGGACATTCCCACCAACAGTGGATGTAAGATCCAACATTTCCGCAACCTCTCCAACAAAGGGGGGAAGGAGTTAATTTTGTGCAGTTTTAAAGGGGTAAGGTACCACCTCGTAATCCTCCCTATATTATAAAGCAGTAAGACGCAAACTGCACGCAATGCGCCCCTACAGTGTTTGGGCGGCTCGCCTGCCTGTCAACAGCTTGGCCACATCCCATTGGCCACGTCGTTTGAGTCCCGCCGTGCACGCAGCTTCCCGTGGCCTGCGGAGGATTCGGAGGAGAGCCGAGACGCGCCAGTGCCTGGGGACGACGAGCCGCAGGCTCACACCTGCAGCCGCCTGGGTCGGTGAGGAGAGGGGGCGAGAGCTGAGCAGAGGAGAGGTGCGAGTCGAACCGCAGCCGCCTGGATCGAGCCCGAGAGGGGAAGGGGGCGAGAGCCGGGCGGAGGGGAGGCGCGAGTCGACCGGCAGCCGCCAGGGTCGGGCCAGACAGGGGAAGGGGCCGAGAGCCGGCCGGAGGAGACCCGACAGGTCCGAGTGGCTGGGGACGACGGGCAGCATGCTAAGGCCGCCAGCCGCCTGGGTCGGTGCGCAGAGAGGGAGGGGGGCTGCAGCCGAGCGGAGGAGAGCCGCGAGTGGCTCGGCACGGCGGACAGCAGCCTAAGCCCGGCAGCCAACTGGGTCAGGACAGGGGGGGGGCAGCGCT